TGAAAACTCGGCTAACGAATTTAATCCGTTCCGGCACCGAGTTAGTCGCGTAAAACGCTCGTCTTGAAAAACGTAGCCAATCAAAATACACAAATTTGCTGATGAGCTGTTTGCGACTGTTATGGGGACGCGAACGGGTACGCACTCACAGCCCAGAGCTGGAAAGGCACCCGAGTTGAACCATGCCGGCAGACCGGCAGCGCGCGCCGTGAGCACACATGAAGCCCACCCCCACGTGCACTGCAAATGTTCTTGAAACGTCTGGCAGCGTGGGAAACCACGAATCAGCATGCACGCCAGAGCCCCCTGGAATGCAATTGGTTAGGATTAGTCTAGAAGGACCAAAGCCTTATAATAGGCTGTAGTGGATACGCTGATTCATTCAGTTGTCTCTTTACCGTCCTGAATAAAGGCTTGCTATAAGAACGGCTCGTTTGGCTTCTTCTGCCTACTAGTCGGGTTCGAAATACGGGTCTATAACAGCAACAGTGGACCTACGCCCTGGGAGCAAGAATCAACGGCGTACACAGGCACGCAAACGCACTGACAAATCATTGACTGAGCGGAAGCTCATCAATCGAAGCAAGTTTTCTACGAGTGGCTCCCCCGTTACTTGAAATGCTCTTAGATTGGATTACTCGTCACCCGAGGCTTCTCTGTATATGCAACCTGTAATCAGCTGGCCTTGCAGCCGTGTACACTAGTTCACTGATTGTCATACGTTTTAAATAAACTACCTGCCGACACTTTTGTGCTCAGTGTAGAAAACCAACCTCAGATCTGTGTCATAACATGCAATCTTTCCTTTACCTAATGCAAGCAAATATTCGAGTCCCAGGAAGTAATTAAGCAGAAGCAGATATGATCGCTGGGGCCAGAATTTTATTCACCTAGCGAACGCGTCATCTTAGCCTGCGTCAGGGATCCAGATAGCCGAACACGCATCACGCCCATGTGATGGCAGCGTAGCAGGTCACGACCTGCAATTATCCACTCCTGTAGCCACCGCTGGGGTCTTAATTTTGCGGCGATAGCTTGAAACTTCGCGTTCCACTCATTAATTGTCACGATTTCCTTGTCCGTGTCGGATGCGGGCTTGGTAATTGCGCGACCATTATGCTCGCTGTCGTCAGGATCTTTGCTGGCCCCGACCCTTCCCAGGTGATTGATCCTCTTACTCAGGCAGTAGCTCAGTACACGGTAGGGAAACGCCAAATCGTTGTGCTTGTTTATGGACTGCGTGCCTGAGAACCATGACTCGAGCAGCTGACGGCTCACGCGGTTATCACCTCGTGCGAGGATTTTGACCTCGTCAAACTTGAAAATATGGCCGGGTCTCGTCGAGTTAGCTGCAACCTGGGAGTTGGCGTCTTTGTCCCTCACCGCCACTGCATGCTCGGCCATTCGCGCCCGGAGAAATCTTCCGGTTTCTCCGACGTAGTGGCATTGTCCACAACTGCACCGTATCCGGTAAATGTCTCCTGCCGCTTCCTGCCGTAGCATTGGGTCTTTAGCTCTCACGACCCGGCACCTGATTGTTGCTTCCGACCTGTGCGTAACTCCATCTCCAAGTGGGGTGAGCAAACGGCTCAGACGATTGTACCATGACCTACGATTAAGGATACCCGACGGAACCTAAAAGGTCAGGAAAATAAAACTATTGTTCCATTGGTCACATCTTGTTCTTCTGAACTGCTTCCCGGAACTCGCATATTCACTTCTATTATCCGGTTTTCTTGAATAAATGCATCCTAATATATACTATGTGTTTATCCTGAGCGGCCTGGACGTATATAAGCTTCATAAAAATGTCTCAGCCCACATCCGGTCTTGATACAGGGTTCCCGTAAATGAGGAAAGTAAGAGTACTGCCAATAGAATATGCGAGTTTCAGGCAGCAGTTCAGAAGAAGATGCGATCACTCTAACAAGGACTTTATTGTCCTGACGTTTCGGATTCCCTCGGGAATCCTTAATCATAGGTGATTATAACACAGTCATGATCATGCGCAGATAGGGTGGAGACATGCACAGTATTTATAGTTCATAGTGGTCATGCGCGTGTGTGAATAAGAGTACTATGGATCCTGCACAAGTCCTCATGGCATAGGACACACTATGGACATCGTCACTTATGGAGTAAAACTAATGCCTAGATTGTAAAGGTATACATTGAGTAGCCATTATCCGCACTGCCAAATTGGCTTACCGTGGAGCCGTTATACAGATATGGCTGGCCGCCTTTGACGCTTTAATTCAGTATTCCGGTAATTCAATATATATATGGGAGATAGGCAGGTTCATTAAAGACCCTATTTACAGATAAATCCCGGCAAAGCATTTATATGTAACAGAGCGCTACTTGCGCATTATATCAATCAGCATTGTCTGCCAAATATATGGCCATCGAGCAAAAATCCATCGATTCTTCTTTTAAATATGACAATGCTATCGGCCACAAGAACTAAGGAAGATAGTTTGTTCCAGTCGCCAATCACCTAGTGGAAAAATAAAGTTGACTTCGAGTTTGGTAAAATGTTCCTTCGGTTTGTTTTGGTGAACTCGGTGATTGGTATTTTTTACTAATTCAAACACAAACAGCAATCTGCAGAACATAATATACTCCTCTAACGAGAATTGGTGAAAAATCCCTGTTTACTGCCTATAAGAGAAGGGAAATTGTTTGAATCTTTCTAGTAGGTTTGGAAAGCCACTGACATCGAGAGTTTTTTTAAAATAAGTATATACCGCAAACTACGAAATTCAGTGAATTTATTGCATTCACTATGGCGCTTTTTCCACGTAGCTGAGTCCTAAACAATCAACTGTCGTCAACTTCAACGGCTAAGGAGAATTTTAAGTGTCCACCAGCAATATACGCATTGCAACGAAAAGCATTCTGCCGGTTGATAGGATAAACAGGAATATATAGCATTTCAGCCATAAGCTTTACTTGACAAGAATTCTAGCCACCATATTTTTTAATAAATTTTAATCCCTGCTAAGTTACAGATTTTTTCTAGTTTGTCGGCTGCAACGATAACCCAATAAGCTGGCCTACGCGCAAGAATTACTAAAACCGGATTTAATCGGCTCTGGGTGAGAAGCTTCAAACTCTATCATCCCCATAATTCATTTCGTGGAAAAAATCACGGAGTTCGCAGGTAAATCTTGTTTGATCACGCTCGCCAAGAGTGCGGACCGTGCCAGAAAATCTGATTAAACCCGCTGCAGTTGCCTGCTTTTTTGAATTAATTTAAAAGACCAAAAAAACTTCATCCATGTTTTTTGCCGCTCTAAAACGCTGCAAAACAACGCAGTCTAAGCCGTTCGTCTGTATATTTTTTTAAACTTTGAGGTAATTGTTGGAGAATGAGTCAACGAACGCGTCTAGATTAATGAACGAGGCTTGTCCTGTCCTCATATCCTGCAAAACGGTCCAGGTGCTATCACATTTCAGCGCTTTCTACGTGAAACGACACTTGTCCTAGAGGCGGTTTGGGTTTATTTTGGGCAGTTATGGCAGTCTTAGTTGCGAGTTAACGATGAGCCAGATTTTTCAAGCATAATGTCCCCGGAGAGAGATGGAAATTATTGCAAAATTTAATGGAACCATAAATTTCATGAGAGCTCT